AGGCGGCCGCATATGCCACTACCTCAGGGAAGGAAGCACTGTCCGTTGTTTGGGTCGCCATTGGGGAAGTTGCAGCCTTTGCTCCCGTCAGACGAGGCACAACAAACATCGACGAAATTGTTTATAGTGCACGGAGAGCCCGGGGTGCCGCATGGAGGAGGTGCTGTTGATGTCGTAGAGGTGGTGGACGTGGTGGAAGTTGACGAGGTGGTAGAAGTTGTTGATGTTGTTGTTGGTTTCTGCAGAAAATAGTTAGACTCTAGTCGAAGACCGCTTTTAGTCAGAAGCAAAGAGACAAACCGGGACGAAACAAGAGCAAGCAGAGCTAGCTTGCAGAGCGTCGGTACACTGCGTGAAAGGGGCCACCGCAGTGGCAACCGAAGCCGTGAAGGTGTTGCAGAAGCTGGTCGCAGCAAGTGCGCGGGCCTTGTAGGCACGGAGGCAGTTGTTGGATGTACAGTCGCGCTTCGCTAGATGGTCCTGGAAGAAGACCACCGACTCGATCGAGCCATCGGCATTGACGGTCGTATTGACTGCAGCAAGTGCGCCGCCGGCACAAAAGAGGGCAGCGAAAAGAGTTTGAAGCCTCATGATGTCGGTTGCTTTGCTTTGGCAGTCTGTGTAAGTGAGAGTGTCTTCAGTCTGTGTCCCTGGGTCTCATCGCTTCATGGCCGGGTTGGGGGAACATCTTATACGCATTTGGAAGGTTGCCCTAAAGAGACGACAGCTCAATCGCAATCACCAATCTAAGGGGCCTGTCCAGGTCCTGCTAGCGCTCGATGTTGACGCTTGCGAAAAGCTTGTCTACGCTATGGATCCAATAGTCCCGTATCGATGACGATGGCGCTCTTTTAGCATCCACAGCTGAGTCTAGACGGTGTTAGAACGCGCTCTCCGCAACGGTACCAAAACAAGATAAAGGCACAGGAGCTACTGCAGGGCTTATGCGCGGTGAGATTTCATCGATTCAGCTACACACAGGCTGGTGACCGTTGCATTCAGGGACAAAAGGAGACGGGCGTCGGCGTACCGACCGGAACGGTCGAGCCGATTGACCAATGCAGCGCTGTTGAAAAAGCCACAGCATTTGCTAGACCCTGAAAACAGCTGAAGCCAACGTCAACGCTGCTGCAAAGTATCGTATTCTCTGACGGGGAATTTTATAACGCTGATGTGGCTTATTGTTCTAGGATTGTCCGACGGTTGTATTGGGCTCTCCACGATCTTTTCGGACCGGGGTTCAACCTGCAGCCGTAGCACAAGTCGCATCCCCCTCGACAATAACGGCACACCGCCACAAGTAGTGAACAAGAGAAGGGACTCAAGACGCGATTTCCACCCAATACCTAGAGCTACTCGTATTCTCTGTGCATTTCAGCTGGCCAGGAGACTTCTCTAGTCTGAATGACTGCCTCTATAATGGTCGACCCCTTGAAAAGCGACGCAGCAGTGCAATTCGCCCAATACTATTTTGTTTCACTTTCATGTAGGGCACCGAGGAAGCTGAGAACTGGTCGGGGCATGCTTACTAGATGTCCTGTAAGCGACCGGAAGAGAAATATCCCTGCCCTAAAGAGACCTCAAATCAGAGATGCGCTGAGTTCCAGCCATCAGAATCAGGGTGTCACAGGTGCGCATGGACGTACTAGACAGTTCTTTCGTTATTCTTCTCCGATCTTGTCCCCCCTTCTGCCTTCTAATCCTATAACCGGCGAAGTCAGCGTCTTGGGCTACATGCTCGCATCATCCTAAGTGTTTAACAAGCAGCAACCTGGACTTATAAGCGACTTAGAGATGCCGAGTGCGTGGTACGGATAGTTCTCTGGGAGTTTCTCGGTTCATCATGAGCGAGCAGACAAAGAATAGAAATTGATCAAGCCAAGGGGCGAGCACTAGCTAGCCTTCAATAACATAAGAACATAGATGTGTATGCCAATTCAGTGTCTATGTGGTTACAGCACACAGGAATCGCTGGCAATAGACTTGTACCCTTCCTAACTAAGGCCCCCATGCGCCTCACAGAAACTTGCTTCATTGGGCGGATCACGTCTATGACCCATAAGATGTGCGTTTACTTCTAAACACTTGCTGCATAGGTCATCCGAAGCCGAACGATCTAGACAATGCAGGTCTTATCACACTCCACAACTATTATCAAGTCCAGCAAGGGACAACTGTGTACTGCTTAAGTCATGATAGGCACTGCTAGGAGCAACAGTTCCAGCAGCCTAGTTAGCCCAATAGGTAGATCGACTGCCCTTGCGTATGATCTTGATGATAGGTATGATGCGACTCCAGGACAAATTAAAAATTGTAAATATCTGTAGACTGGTTGAAAGCCACCTGATTCTACTTTGCTTCGACTCAACGAACAAGGAGCCGAGGGTGAGGTCGCGTGTTAATCGCGGTGGACGTCTCACATCCTGGGTGCAATCTCTTGTCGTTGACATAGCTACGGCTGATCTGACTGGGAACAGACTTTATCAAAGTTCTGGGGGCTTGGAAACTTCCACATTCCAGTCTCGTGAATATATCATCGCATGGCATTGTGAGTACGCAGGTAGGCTGGTGTGTGGGAAGGGCCACCCTTATCCATGGCTGCTTGGTGACTTTATATGATTTGCATGAGTCTTCGACTGTACGAATGAGGATAGAATATGTCCTGGTAATCAGCTGTCTCGTCGTGACTGATAACCTCGACGCCCATTCTATCCGGCGGCTGCGAATCGTTATCGACATCGCCATCTCGGCCATCTCGGAGCTTTGTTCTGACACCCATAGCTGACGCTTGTCAGATCTGAGACCTATCCTAATATGGGCTAATTTGTCCTGTGGTCGTGCTTCAACCGGGTCGGCTTATCTCCCATTTAGACGGAGCGCGAAGAGCCAAAGCCAGCCTCTAATGGCCGAAATTGAGGGGCTCCAGTACAGTAAAGTAAATATATTGGCTAAGATGCAAACCAAGCAACGGCAGTTCTGCACAGCGGCGCCGATGATTCCGGGCCAGTCCCGGTGATCGCGTCGCATTGGTCGACGACAGACATGTCGAGCATCGCATATCTATGAGGCGCATCGTCGAAAGCCCAAGGCGGCTCGTGCATGAGGATTGGGCAAAGGTCTTGGCAACTAGGAATCTGGAAGATCAAGATACCGCGGGTCATGGCATTGAACCGGGATAAGAATGGCCGTGCCACCCAAAAAGAGAGCTTCACCTGTGATCCCTGAGTCTCCTTAACGTCCGGTTGGCCATACGTTCCAGTTTCTTTGCACTGCTGTTAGTTGCACATTTTCGGTCGGTAGTCAGCATCATCAAGCCACAATGCATTGGAGTACACTGGTCTCTCTGGCCCTCTTGGGGCAAAGTGAAGCCCTCCTTCGATTCGGGTGCTCCCAGCTTGTCGTCGAGCGCCTCGACCCTCTCGTCAACCCGGGTCTCAACCCGTCGCCGCATCTGCATCAGATCATCGGAGGAGTGAGTCGATGCCCGAAGCCCGTCTTAAGAATGCCAGCTGAAATCCGCCACAGAACTCCTTCAATGTAACGATGGCTCCCGACAAAGACATGCCCAATGACTCCACTTGCACGACCTGCCAGTTCTCCGAAGACTTTTCCAACTACTGGACGGCAGTCCTCTTTTTCAAGGCTCGCAACGGCTCCTTCCACCGCGTGCCGCAGAGAGGCAATGCGGGCTTCGAGAACGCCAACGGCGGCATGACTGTGTATTAGTACGTTGCTTTGGTACAAGCGTGGTGGGCGTCCAAAGCTAACCAGCACCAGCATGCAAGACGGCCTGGCAGACTACCAGCAAAAGTCCAAGGTAACGGCTTTCAAGAAGGGCTTTCGCATGCTTATCGGTGACTCCATGGCTCGCAGCAAGGCCGAGGTGAAGAAATTCCGACAGCTCACCTACACTTGCCTGCAAGATCTTGGAACACGTTTTCCCGAGACCATGAATCTTCCTAACAAGCCTTGCCCGGCCGGCATCATGGCCAATCTACGCTTCCCCACGTGAGTACAGCAACTTCTCGGAGACGAACGCAAGCTAAATGGCCATCACACAGCTGTTGGGATGGGAAAAATCTCGATACGCCGAACCACCAGGACCATATGGCATATCCCGCGAGCGGAACTTTTGAGTCGCAGGGACCTTGCCCGGCAACGCACCCGGTCAAGGTGCCGCAGCTCATGTACGAGACCATATGGGACACGCGGCAGTTCAACGACCAGTTTGACTGGTCTGTGAACGGCACGCAGCCCTTCTACTGGAGCATGGGAGACAACACCGGCTACGGTACGCACGGCGACTACGTCTTTGGGTGGAAGGATGACGCGCTGCAGCGGGCTATGGACTCGCCGTGCTACGTCAACTGCCCCACGCTGAAGACGCAGTCCATGACGGCCATGAACTCGTGCTCGGTGAAGGATGTTGTTGAGGAGCAGATTGATGGATGTGAGCACATGTCTTTAGCCAATTTCAGGGCCGTGCAATGCTAACCACCGGACAGGGCTCGATGCTATTCCAGGGAATCCTGCGCTATCATGAGAAACCAGTCCATGACACAAAGTCGGTGTGGGAGGGACGTACGGATCGGTGCTCAAATTGTGGGAGGATGACCCGACAAATCGCAAGGGAGACGGGACTGTGGGGCGTTGATATCCGCTCACATCTGTGCCTTCCGTTTTGCCAAGATTGTGATAGAATATAGAATCCGAACCAACTGGCATATCTGAAGAGATAAGCCTAAACATAATGTCATGCTCATCGCCTTGTCACTGGGTCTGTGAAGCTGGATGTTTCTTCTGGGATTCAGTTAGCAGCTCAAAGCTTCGTCAGCGAGATTCTGGTGATCCACTTTACTTCAGCACGTGACTTACCTCGTGGCTTTGTTTATTTCGGCACCCACCTTCCAACCGTGATCAAAGTCGTTGCTCCCTTGAGTCACGGAGCGTTCCTTCGAGCAGGGAAGAACAGGTTAGTCCAGCCCAGCCAAACATTCACCAGCTGCGTGGCGCAGTGGAAGCGCGGTAAGTCCTGGAAACTCGCTAGTGATGACATGAGCACCATAACTAATTCGCCTCAGCCGGGCTCATAACCCGGAGGTCCTCCGATCGAAACGGAGCGCAGCTACTCCATTTTTGCCCTCTTTCTTTTCCTTTTGCAATGCTTTCTTGCAATTGTGTCAAAGAATCCAATCGCATTTCGGGATCTGACTTACAATAAATTTGACCAGCGGAACCATGTTCAAGTTGTTATGACGCGCATGATCACATCCACAGCAAATAATGCCCCGCGACAAATGGCGAGTATGTGCTGTAAACAAGTCAATCCACTCCAATCGCGATTCAACTGCGCACTAATATGCCAGGCCTCTATTATCACTCGCTCCAGGTAAAGCTGTAAGAGGCACCGTTATGTTCCTGCCGTCAAATTTTCAAGATTTGACAAGCAAACCGTCATAAAACATACGACCCATCGCATCAAGTTCGGTAGTCAGTCCGTGTGTTGGTGTTGCCGAGTACGTCCTATTAACTTTTCCACAAGTGATGCTAAGGAAGGAATGACTGTCTGTCGAGCCGCCTCCTGAGCCCGGCACTGCCCCAGGTCTTGTTTCCTAGACTAATAATAGGTTGTATGATACTGGCCCGAACGAAGAAGCACCCTCACGGAGACAGCCATCCATATGCCACTGACTAAAGAGCCACATATGCGATACTGTCGACTGTTCTATCTTGTCTATTCGCCCCTGCAGCACTCGAAGATGCCTTACCTTGCCTGTGAAGATCTCTTTAGTAAGTTGAGTTCAGGACGATCATCGTGCACCTTTTCCATGGTATACTGGAAAAGTAGACCGAGACAACTGGACTCGGCCGAAACCAAGACTCGATCTTTGCACCAATTCGTCTACATGGCAACGATGATGCTACTGCTGGTGATGGTCATGATCTCACGCCCGTAACCTATCTTCGCTGAGTATTTGTCGCAGCGAGACAGGCCTAACGACCTCTGTCGTGAGTCCCAGCTGGCGGATCGCATCGCCGTGGCATCGAATGACATCTGGATCGATCAAAGATGTTTGCACGACGACCCTACCCTGGCAACGCCGGCGAGCGACCACATCCCAAGCTTGCTTGGTCGCAATCCTTATAGTAAGCTCCGATGTCCCCCGTATCGTGATGATGGCTAACTGTCCATCTCGAGCCCTCTGGTAGCGAAAGAGCATTGCCACACCCCGTCTGCCGTTCCATAGCTCCATCGTGTCAAGTTTCGGCATCTTGAGCGCTGCGAGAGCGGCGTCTTGGAGCATGTTGTTGATACCCGAGGTGTCCGCATCATTAGTGAGGATCCTTGAAGTCAGCGCTAGAGATGTGAGCTTATCCCACGTCCATGAATCTTGACACGCTGCGAAGAAGTGTCCGGCGTCGGCAATGAAAGAGGCGGATAGCGTCTTGAGGTGCAGGCTGGCATAGGCAAGTTTGCGACTCACGGCCGGGTTCGGCACCCTAATAGCGGGACACCGGAAATATATCCCCGGATATGACTCGTTGAAGTTCTCGAATATCGTCAGCTTGCACAATTTCGTCCCGGGAAAAGACTCAATCAGTGTCTGGTTGTCTGTATTCTGCTCGGTCAGCGGCTGCGTCGACTGAGTTGCCAGGTGTCGAGCAAGCACTTGCGTTCATCGGTTTGCCTCTCAATTGCAGTCCACTCCCTCCAGGGTTCGTAGCAAAGCTCCTTCATGTTAGGGAACCGCGTGAGCATGTTGGCAAGTGCAACCGGCTTCCAACGTCGGCGGGTCTGCTGACGAAGGAGCACAACCCCGACAACGGGTACGAAGGGGAGGCCCCGCCACCACTGCATCTCGGGTTCCTCGTCGTCGAAAGGCCCCTCGCCCATGATCTCGTCGAATGTCTGTTCGATGGCGGACTCTTCAGGACCAAGAACCTGCTGCCCGGCCACCCAGCCATGAGCCAGGTCATTGATCAGGGTCGTTCCTTGTCCGTGTCCAGGACGAGACGAGTACTCGCCTAGGTTGGTGTCTGAGCAGAAGCTGAGGTACTTGAACCAGTGCTGGTTGTCACTGGGCGAGTAGACACTGACATCAAGGACCAAGTCACCGCGAGGCTCCCATGCGCTGAGAGTGGTAAACAAGCTTTCAAACGCGTCCGCGATGAATTGGTTGTCGGCATTATCTAAGCCCCAACGGTCCTCGTCGGTGTTAGCACATTGGCTGCAATCGTACTCCTTCAGTTCCACGCGAAACCAGATATAGCGGATCTGGCTTCTCTTCCGGAACAGAATAGCTTGAGAGTTGAGATCAGCGAGGCGCGGTGCCGTCAGACTGATCTCGGCAAAGTTGAGCGGCTCGATAATTGATTGCCAGTCTCGGGCAACGGTCGCGAGCATGCTGCACTTCCCGCCGAGATCTGGCAGGAAACCAATGATCTCGTTTCGAATCTCTGGAGGTAGGCGATTCCAAGAGATTTTGTATGCAGACATCTCTGATCAGGCGTGCAGTAGGTTGAGTGTGAAGAATCGCGGTTTGATGTGGACTGAGAAGGATGGGATGGGATGGAATAGCTCGAAGTTCGAGACCTGTATTTGGGGCTTTGAAGAGTGGGAGAGATATCAGACACTTCACATCCTCCTGGAGAAGGGTTTGCATTCATATTTATAGGTACAAGCTTTCAGCTATGCAGCTGAAAGCTTGAGAATAGGCAACTGTATGATTATCGGGATATAATGACCATGAAGGTTTTCGAGTTCAGCACAAAGTATAACAGTAAGCGAGCAAGGGACTGAATTGTTTCACAATTCGGCATGGAGCATAAGATATGGTTCTGCCTGTTTGTTTACAGTGCAATAATCGTAAAGCATAGTAGAAGAATCTCTCCACAACTTCAAGGTTGATCTGACCTTCTTGCTTCCGGCCGAGACAAGCACTTAGGCAACTCAACCTCTCGAACAATGGAATCACAAGCGAGATTTTCAATACCCTCATACCCAGCAATATGAGTACACAGGTCCCGTGGTCCTTTCAATACAGCATGTTCCTATCCGGATCATAAGTTTCATAACAATTATTTTCCGCCATCGCGTATCGTCAGCCAACTGCTTTCTAACACTTTAAGTATTGCAATATATAAACATTATCATGCACCATGTAGACACATTTTCCATCATTTTTCCATTCAAATAAGTATCCCTTGTTGGCCACTAAACCTCGGAGCCCGTTCTTTAACTGGGACATATCAAGAGCAAGCGAGTCGTCCTTGTCCCAGAGACATCAGTCTCTTCTGGCGCATCTACATCGAGATGGGCCAAGAGGTGCAAACACAGACAGCTATATACAGTTCGCTAGTGAGCGAAACGGAAATCCAATCTCTTGAGCCCCTCATCCTTGCTGTTCAGCACATAATCCTCCTGCTGCTCCGGCGTAAGGGCATTCCATTTCCGGTCTCGAACCTTGTTTCTCCAGATATAAAACGCCTTGACGAAGTAAAACAAGAATATATTGAACACTGTGATTCCCAGCAAGATTCTATTTCCCCTCAGGTAGAGCGGCTGGTCGTCATCGCGGTAGATGTTGCTGCCGATGATGTTCCCACTCTGCACAAACATATTGTACAGCGCCGCCGACACAGCCCGCGTCCGGACGGAGTTACTGTTCCTCGCATTCCAACTGACGAGAATGGCGTGGCAGTACGGATACGACAAGAGTCCTGTCAGCAGCGCGTACCTTGTCCAAGGTGATGCTGATGCAGGTAACGTCACGAGTGCCACAAGCCAGGGCAGAATCCAGATGTTGGAGATGGAACTGATTATAGACCGCTCTTTGACTTTCTCCGAGACCCAAGTCACTATGACAAGGTTCACAGCGAAGAGAAACTGCGACGGGATGGCGAGCAGATTAGACTGGAATACGGAGAAGCCGAGTTTTCGCAGGATGTAAGAGAGGTATGTCGTCGGTGGCGAAGGCGGGATGTACGCCGTCAGCCCGATGAGATAGAGCGGCCACATCTCCCAGTCCTTGGCCGCCTTCCAGAGTCGTTTCGGGCCGACGGCCTGCCTGTTATTCATGTCGCCCTTGCTCGGATCATCCCTCAGCAGGCGGTTGACCATGATGTACTCTTCGTGCTCGGTGAACCAGCCATCCTTGCGGCCGCGGAACCAATTGCGCGTCTGGCATGGGCCGGGCGGCATTACGCCCCAAGAGAAGATGCCGATGATCAGCGTGACGATGGCTTCCAGGAGGAAGAGCCACTGCCACCCGGACCAGCCGTTGATACCTCTCATCTGTAGTACGCCGGCGGCTATAAGGGAGCCGAGAATGTTGACAGTGCTCAGGGCTGTCCAGAACCAGGCAAGCCGCAGGGGCAGTTCGTTGGATTTGTAGAAGTAGGTCAGCCAGAGCACAATGTCGGGGATGAAACCACCCATGAAGAGGCCCAGCAGGGCCTTGATGGCGTAGAAGCCGGCTCGGTTCTTGAGGAAGGCTTGTGAGCCAGCTACAATGGACCAGCAGCACATGATGGTCGGGATCCATCTGTCGGCACCGAGCTTCTTGCTGATCAGACCACTAGGGAGCTCGGCGGCTAGGAAGCAGGCGAGGAAGATGGTTTGACCGTAGTTGAAGTCGTTGGTGTTCATACCTGGGAACGAATTAGTCCCTGAGTCATTGTATCTGTACAGTAAGGGAACGAGGCCTACCAATCTCTGCGAGCATATTGTCCGAGATGGCGCGGTTGATATTTCGACGATGCAGGTCGAGGGCAAGGAACATAACCCAGGCCCAGATCATGATTCGCAGGTCAATCTTGCGCACCAGCTTCTTCTCCTCCTCGGCAGTCCACTTGTAATTTGGATCGAAGCGGTGTCGGTTCTCATATCTGGCCTTCTCGTACACACCTCGCCAGTACTCAGCCAAAGACGGGTCGCTGAAGATGTGCTCGTCTGACGAGCCATAGCCAGCTCCGTCGCCGCCGGCTCGCTCGTCGACTGAGGCGCCGTCGCTTGACGTGGCGGCGAGTTTCTTCTCGTCTCCAGTGCGAGTGACTGACTCTTTGTGGGAGGGTTCAATGACAGGCATGGCGGCTGGTCAATGTAGGCTGTATGAAATACGGCGCTAT